TTAGTCCCGAAATGACACAGTTTGTGTCAAGTAGACAATAAACCCCATTTTATTTACTTCGCTTGTATCTCATTTAACCCCACATTTTTGTATAACTTAAATAATGTAAATTTCGTTTAACTATTTGTGACGTTTCCTTTTTTAAAACATCAAAAACTTCTAAGTGTATGATTCCACGGTGGCTAAGTGGGTAAAACGCTGGCTCGCTAGTTTGGAGGTCGGTATTTTCCGGCGTGCTTTCCCCTTGTCAGTGCTGCAGTCTGTCTAGTCGTTCGGATCGGAAGAAAAACCGAGGTCACGTGTACACATTGGCATGCACGTAAAAGGTCCCTTGGCAGTTTGAATTCGATAAAAGTAGCGCCGCTCTCCGGGCAAAATTTCCCTCATAGCACACTGCATGGCCTATGCCCATCTTGATTATCCCAGTCGGAGCAGAACAGTAGGACGCTAAACCCCATTTCTTTTCATTTTTCATTTCCATACATCACGCGAGTCCTTTCATTTGCGCGGCTTAAGAACATGGCGGTGGTCAAGTAGCGCCAGCTGTTTCAAAAGTGTTGTCGTTGTGTAACGAGGCGTCATCTATACCACGTGTACTTAAAGCCATGTATTATCCTATAGCCTATTATTGCCATGGTGGTAAGAACACCGACTACAGAATTTGTACTCTCAACATCGCATGTATAACAAGGGGGGGTTGGGATGGCCTAGTGGTCTAGAGTGTCACGCTTCGACCTCTAGTTGGCCGGTCACCTCTGGCTTGCGGCTGTGGTTTCGATCCCAGGTGTGAGCGTATGTGGCTTGGAGATAGGGGCGCCTTCTCAACCTCGTGGGTTTACTCCGGGTACTCCGGTTTCTCCGGTTTCCTCCCACAGCAAAGACCCCTGCGCGTGCGCTAAGATCATTAAAATGAACTTGTCTGCGATATCACCTTCGGTGGAAGCGGACGTTAAACGCTAAGAACAACAACATGTATAACAAAACGAAATTATGAGTCATTATTTATTAAAATGTTCACTTTCCATCCAGCATAATTGAAACTTGAACACAAATCCAGCTGATATTCTGAAAATTTATTATTCACATAAGGCTACATTTTTGTATTTTTTGACTTTGATAAAAAGAGTTACAAAGGTTGTTTGTTCTGATGTCAATCTAATTAAAATAGATCTATATTTCGTTTCGTTTTTTTATACTTTCGAAATTATGAACTATAAAAAAACGAAACGAAATATGATCTGCGTTTTAATCAGATTGTTTTGTTTAAGAGCTTCAGTAAAATTGTGTTTTTAATCCAAGTCGCCATGTTATGTATTGTTTACTTAATCTTCTTTTTTTATTTGTCTTTTCAGATCAGAAACCATTACAATATAATCGATGATCATTTATTTTTAATACAGCTTTACATTTTAATATGCATAAACCATTAAAATTAATTGTTGTTTTTGTTCCATTTTTATCCAGAAACGGTAATAAGCGTTTATTCAATCTGGCATAGAGCATAATATGCGAAAACAGCCTTTATTAAACATTATATTATGCAAGAGCTAAATTTGACTATTGCAGGTCTTTCTTTAGACCCGAAACAGTGGTTCTCAACCTTCTTTTGACAATGGCACACCTTATTTGGAACACATGAAAAATAGCGGCACACCTGGCTAAATATATACGTACAATATTTATATTTTGCAAAATAAAAACGTGGCAAGTCATAGGCGGCATACAACCGTAGACACAGACTGGTCATAGACTTAGAGAATGGCTCAAACTAAATAAAGAAAAACACAGATATGAACTTACTTTATTGAAGTGTTTCGAATTTCATCATTCAAATATCTGGCTTCTTTTGTGAGAAATTTTCTTTGTAAGCCGTTCATGTTTCGAGGCACACTTAGGAAGATCAGTGTCCTGAAATGTTATATAAACTATTATTAATTAATTAGAAATAAATCAACTTATCCCGACCATAATCAGCCCTCGATGTCATCTTATGCGTCGGATTTTCGCTGGATTTGATTCCAAAGAATAGAGATATATACGCATTAAAATGTGATGTGTTGCTAAAGACCCCTATGCATTCTCGTTTTATTAAATGGTGTTTACGGTTCCAAAGAATAGAGATATACGCCTTAAAATTTGATGTGTTGCTAAAGACCCCTATGCACTCTCGTTTTATTAAATGGTGTTAAGTGGTCTCTCTCTGTCTGTCTCTCTCTCTCTCTGTCTCTCTCTCTCTCTCAGTAAGTTCTACGTGTGTCGCGATAACATCAGAACAAGTAATAATACAAACATGGTTAAGCAGAATCTCCGCGTATTTTTTTTTTTTATCGAGTTACACTTTTGGGGTTTTTATTAATGCTTTTTAAAAAATGTTTTAGAATTTTATTTGCAGAATAAAAAAAAAAATCATTTTTGAGAGCTAATCAACTCGCCCCGATTAAGTGTTACCCCTTTCGGTGACATTGACGGTCAAGCGAGTATTTACTTCTGATCAGATTTATAAACAGATATGTTTAGCTACAGCTATATGGGAAATTTTAACTATTAAATAAAAATAAAAATAGTCTTTAAACTGGTTTGTTTTTTATTTTGTTTCTGGTGATTTTGCATTCTATATATTTTAAACGATTTACAGAACGACTTCGTCCTAAAATATTTTTGGACCAGGAACTGGTCACTAACCGCTAATCATCTTGTCCTTCTTCGTCTTGGGTTGGCGCTCTTCGGAAAAGCTTAAGGCTCCGTCAACATGAAAATTGGTATGCGTCTTTTTCGGACAATTCTGCATCGATTTGGTCAATTCGAGTTTTAAATTTCATCCCCTATCATGGTCAGTTCCTGGTCGATTGTACGATCGTACTTATTGTTACTCAGATAGGAAACATTAAACATACATTATGCGAGAGCTAAATCTGCCTATTGCAGGTCTTTCTTTAGGCCTGAAATGTTATCTAAATTATTAATAAGGCATTAATTAACTGATCCAGGCCAGAATCAACTCTTGATGGCAACAGATTTCCTCCGATATTAAATAGATTAGAAAGGTTCAGCCATATTTTGATTTAATTTAAAAATGGAGTAGCAAGACTTAACTTCGAACAACCAGTACGGTGGTTGAAACTATTGCACACGTCTTGTCAAACCTTCAAAGGCTAATATCTTCGCTCGCAATAAAGGGATTTGAATGGAATTTTCAAATTATACATTTTACATTACCTAATTTCGAACTATTATAGCAAGAATGGCTAGCTCTTTATCTGTGTCTTACATGATGTATCTTTAATTAAGTAGCCATTGACGTGGGTCAAGTTATGTTATTCAGTAAAGTAAAGAATTTGTGGTTAAAGGCGGTACAAATAAATCTTACATAATGTATCTTTAAATGAAAACAATTTAAGCATTAATATCTTACCAGTATTAGTTGTTCAGAAGGTGGTAGTATCCGGAGCAATAAATATTATTATTTTAAGACAGATATAGACCTCCAATCCCCTCTCACGCATTCCTTTAAGGCCTCACGATCGTGTCAGTACCAAATGTCGAACTGGTAGAATTTAAATAGGGATTAAAGATACATTATGTGAGATTTCGTTAAAGCGCTGACAGTTCTCGCTATACTACTTTAAAAATAGATAACGAAAAGGGAACTCGCGATAATGTCAGTACCAAATGTCGAACTGGTAGAATTTTAATAGGGATTAAAGATACATTATGTGAAATTTCGTAAAGGCGCTGACAGTTCTCGCTATACTACTTTAAAAATTGATAACGAAAAGTTAACTCGCGATCATGTCAGTACCAAATGTCGATTTTAAATAGAGATTAATGATGCATAGATAAAAAGCTGACAGTTTTCGCTATAATAAATTCTCTAAAAAATAGTTAATGGGAAAGAACATGTTGTTAATTTCAGTGAAATTACTTCATTTTGAACGGAGTTATGTTCGCTTGAAGAATAGTGTAGTCTCGATTGCCATTGCTAACAATGTTACGATAATAAACACAGCCTCGATTATCCACTTTTTACTTAAATTATTAACCGACTATCGTGTTTAAATCCGTTGAAAATCAAACCACCAGATAATCTAGCAAGTTGATTATGGGCTTTGCATGTGAATACATGTCTAATTAATGATTTATATACCATTTGAGGCCAAACGAAAGATTTAAATCTTACATTATGCATCTTTAAGGTATCAATGAATAGCTGAAGAAACTGAAAGAGACGAAGGGTACTGTCAGACTATTTACTATGACAACGTGAGTTTACCGACTATCGGCTCAAATACGTTGTGGGACAACTCGGGTTGTTGAACCCGATAACATGAACCCGGAATAATTCTGGCCGGAGACAGTATCTAGGTTACAGGATCCGTGGTCCCATTCTGCACTCAGAGAACTATCTACTTTGAGAATAGATCTCTGCCCTACATAGCCGCCATATCCAAAAATTCGTATACTATTTTGTAATGCTGTTCTCTGTTTCGCTAAATAAACCGTTTCACTTTTATGAAAGTGAGATAAATATTTCTCAAATTCTCGAAATCGACTAAAACCGTCGATTTAGGAATTAAAATGTCGGTCAACTGGCTTAGTGTATATTCTGAAACGGGGCTAATTGTAGACAGACAACATAAGTTTAGTATGTCGAGATCCATGCAACGTGTCCTACGCCACGTGAAATATCATGACAACATAAATTTCAACACATTCTACAATGCTAATTACATTTCACCAATATTCCTTAGAAAAAATTAACCCATTAATGAATATAACAAGTTGTTTTAGAACTTGGTGGTAGATGATTCCAGATAACCTGACTCAACCTTTTATTTCTACTGATTGGCTATTATAGAAAGTCGTGCATCCTGTTTTAGCGTGCGAGACCCATTTACCATAAAACACCACATAATAAAGATGGTTATCAAAAATCATTTAAACTTGATAGATTAATTATACGGATATCACCTTATTTACTATATAACTATGAACAGGTAGGTCATTATCAGTATAGTGAAAGATATACAGTGTACAGGTAACATTAATATTCTAATACATATTGTTTAATTTTTACGATTTTTTTTTTATCTTTTGATTTTGTTGTAGAAATTGAAAACGAATGATTTCGTTTCAAATCCCTGCATTGGCCGAGAAAGTTCATCCCGATTTTCCGACGTGGTTTCCCCTTGTCAGTGGTGCAGAACGGAGGGCCTGACAAGGACAGCTATCTAGTCTTTCGGATAAGACCAAAAATTGAGGTCCCGTGTATACATGTACATTGGAATGCACGTAAAAGATCCCTTGGCAGTTGGAATTCGATATAAGAGTAGGCGATAGTGCCGCTGCCCGGGCAAAATTTCCCTCGTAGCACACTGTATGGCGTATGTCCGTCTTCATTAGCCCAGTACAGGAGCAGAACAGTAGGACGTTAAACCCTATTTCATTTCATTTCATTTCATTTCAAAGAAACATGGATATCTTGTGAATCTTTGCCGTGTTGAAAAAAATTAATATTTGACACATATTCAATCCATTGTTTGAGATGTAGAAGAAAAGCACGTGCCATTGCTTCCTCTTTCCAACAGTAATAAAAGTCTCGAAATTGTAACTCGCTAACCTGTGGGTTCCGGTGTTTGTAGAGAAATTTGCTCGGAATTTCCGGCATGACTTCCCCCTGTCAACAGGCCCGACAAGGAACGGTGTCTAGTCGTTTGAATGGGACGTAAAAACGATTGACCGTGTGTATTATATTTGCGTGCCCGAAAAATAACCATTGATAGTAATATAATTATAAACTAGTGTAATGTTATATGATTTTATCAACTAATGTAATATTATATAATTGTATTACAGAATGAAGTGTTTATTGTTGATAACCGTAGCTGTAGTTTTTCTGGCTCAAAATGCCGAAGCTAGCTTCGAAGACGGTGAATTGTCCCGTGAAGAAGTTGCAGAATTGCTTGAAATGGAGAGTGAAGAAGAACTAGACGAATTCTTTGCTGAATTTGATACTAATGGTAAGTATTCCTATGATCTAATATATATTTTACTTGTCAATACATCATTAGCACGATAGCTTGACTGACCTTTCCTATTGTTCAGACTAGGACGACAAAAAGCAAAACTTGTTTAAGAGATTTAAAAACAAATGAGGCTTTGTGGATTTCTCAAATATATACTTTTTCGATACTTTGATTTGGAAACGATATGAAATGTTCACCAGACCAGATGGAGTCATTTTCAAGACGTATTATATCAGATTAGTGACTAGTTTATTTAGTTTATCTTATATTTGAAAATTGACTTGATACAAACGGGTCAGACAGAATACCGGATATTTATCAGAAATATTTATCAGTTTGTTTTCACTTTTTCGTATAATATATACTAAAGGAATACATTGTAGGCATTTCGTATAATATATTCTAAAGGAATACATTATAGGCATTTCGTATAATGTATACTAAACAAATATTTTTTAATCATTTCGTATACCAATAAAGAACTATATTTTAATCATTTCGTATAATATGTACCATAGGAATGCATTTTAATCATTTCCTTTGATTTTTACCAAAGACATGCATTTTAATTATGTCAAAGAATAATATTTTAATCCTTTCGTATAATGGGTAGCATAGAAATGCATTTTAATCATTTCGTATGATGTTTACCAAAGAAATACGTTTTAATCATTTCGCATAGTGTGTACGAAAAAAAAGCAACGTTTTAATCATTTCGCATAGTGTGTAACAAAGAAATACGTTTTAATCATTTATTTTTGAGAGAATTTAAAATATTTATAAAACAGAAGACTGAATGTTTTAGAATCGATTTCGCATAGATTTCTCAATACAACTAAACAGGTAATCTCTCCGATCAATTTCATATTCATATTAACTAGCTGGAAATAGACAACATTTTTCAAAATCTCAACAATTTATAAAATAAAACACCATCAGGAAAACAATAAGTTTAACACAGGTTTAGAGGTTTCAGCAATTACTTTGCAATTATATTATTTGGCTAAATACATCTGCTGTAATGATCAAGGTGCAATTTTCGATAGCACTTGTGCGCTGTATCATACGGTCTGTCATTGAATCAACTGGCGGGGTTTAAATTCCCCAGTTGTACGTGACAAGGAGTAGGGTCGCCTGTCCAACCTCGTGGGTTTTCTCCGGGTCCTCCGGTTTCCTCCCACTGCTAAAGACCCCTACGCGCAAGCGAATTAATGAAATAAAATTGAACCATGTGTTAGTCCCGAAATGACCTAGTTTGTGTCCAGTGGACGTTAGACACCATCTCTCTCTCTCTCTCTCTCTCTCTCTCTCTCTCTCTTGTCAATGGTACAGGAATGAGGGTCTGGCAAGGGATAACGTATAATAGTTCGAAAAACTGAGATCCCATATACATATTGGCACATAGCACACTGCACGTAAAATAACCCTTGACAGCTGGAATTAGAAATAACAGTAAGCCGTAGTATCGCTTTCCGGGCAAAAGTTCCCTCACAGCACCATGTATGGCTTATATCCATTTTCAGTAACCCAATAGGAGCAGAACAATGAAAAGGATTGTTTTAATGACATAAGCCACCACAGAGCCACAATCTGACTAAAACACGGATCCTATTTTTAGTTCAACATTCGTTTTACTTGTCTTTACTACACTAGGAACTAGAAGAGCGTTCTTCTTGATGTGAGCTAGGGATTTGCCAATAAAACGGTATATTGCAGCAAGTTCTTTGCGTGCGATGCACGGAACTGTGGGTATCCTACTAGAAACATCAACGCTGATTTGTTAATCAAATTTTAATGTCTGACGTCATTGTGCCAAAAGCTGCTCGTATGACCCCTGACGCGACCGCCCGCTACAACAGGGGAGATTTTCATGTAGTGCAGGCCATCGAAAGTATATAAAAAAAAACGAAACGAAATATAGACCTATTTTAATCATATTGCAGAGCCAGCATCTAGAGGAGCACAGTTCGTTATCCGAACAAAATTAACCGTCTTCTGACTTATAACTTTTATTTTCTAGGCGATGGCGTTATTGATTTAGAAGAATCTACAGCAGTCGGAGAAGTCCTGGATTATTTCATAGGAAATGGTTCAGAATAGAACACAACTCAAGTAAGCATATATCGTAGCAATAAACTGAGGGGTGTGTGGGGGGGGGCGAACGGTTAAACATGTGGGCTTTAGATCATGAGGTCTGTCATTGAGTGAAGTGACGTGGTTTCGATTCCTCGCTTGTACATGACAAGGAGTAGAGTAGTATTGTCTGTCCAAACTCGTTGTTTTTTTGTGTGTCCTACTGCTAAAGCACCCTATGCGCAAACCAATTATTGAAATAAAATTGAACCGTACATTAGTCCAGAAATGACACAGTTTGTGTCAAGTAGACAATAAACCCCATTTTATTTACTTCGCTTGTATCTCATTTAACCCCACATTTTTGTATAACTTAAATAATGTAAATTTCGTTTAACTATTTGTGACGTTTCCTTTTTTAAAACATCAAAAACTTCTAAGTGTATGATTCCACGGTGGCTAAGTGGGTAAAACGCTGGCTCGCTAGTTTGGAGGTCGGTATTTTCCGGCGTGTTTTCCCCTTGTCAGTGCTGCATTCTGTCTAGTCGTTCGGATGGGAAGAAAAACCGAGGTCACGTGTACACATTGGCATGCACGTAAAAGGTCCCTTGGCAGTTGGAATTCGATAAAAGTAGCGCCGCTCTCCGGGCAAAATTTCCCTCATAGCACACTGCATGGCCTATGCCCATCTTGATTATCCCAGTCGGAGCAGAACAGTAGGACGCTAAACCCTATTTCTTTTCATTTTTCATTTCCATACATTTGCGCGGCTTAAGAACATGGCGGTGGTCAAGTAGCGCCAGCTGTTTCAAATTTGTTGTCGTTGTGTAACGAGGCGTCATCTATACCACGTGTACTTAAAGCCATGTATTATCCTATAGCCTACGGACGAGGCCTATTATGGACAGGGGGCAGAGTTGGACTTCATCGCAGCCATCTTGGATTTGTGACGTTATATCAAAAATCAAACACTTGATGCACAATTCAAAGGGGCACGCATGCCAACCTTCGCCCAATTTCTGGTCCCCAAAAGAAAATGTTATCTGATCGATGACCGAATACTGGGGGGGGGGGGATAAACCATTGATGTTAGGTTAAAGTTGTCATGGTGATAACACCAAGCACACAAATAACAAAACGAAATTATGAGTCATTATTTATTAAAATGTTCACATTCCATCCAGCATAATTGAAACTTGAACACAAATCCAGCTGATATTCTGAAAATTTATTATTCACATAAGGCTACATTTTTGTATTTTTTTACGTTGATAAAAAGAGTTACAAAGGTTGTTTGTTCTGATGTCAATCTAATTAAAATAGATCTATATTTCGTTTCGTTTTTTTATACTTTCGAAATTATGAACTATAAAAAAACGAAACGAAATAGGATCTGCGTTTTAATCAGATTGTTTTGTTTAAGAGCTTCAGTAAAATTGTGTTTTTAATCCAAGTCGCCATGTTATGTATTGTTTACTTAATCTTCTTTTTTTATTTGTCTTTTCAGATCAGAAACCATTACAATATAATCGATGATCATTTATTTTTAATACAGCTTTACATTTTAATATGCATAAACCATTAAAATTAATTGTTGTTTTTGTTCCATCTTTATCCAGAAACGGTAATAAGCGTTTATTCAATCTGGCATAGAGCATAATATGCGAAAACAGCCTTTATTAAACATTATATTATGCAAGAGCTAAATTTGACTATTGCAGGTCTTTCTTTAGACCCGAAACAGTGGTTCTCAACCTTCTTTTGTCAATGGCACACCTTATTTGGAACACATAAGCGGCACACCTGGCTAAATATATGCGTACAATATTTATATTTTGCAAAATAAAAACGTGGCAAGTCATAGGCGGCATACAACCGTAGACACAGACTGGTCATAGACTTAGAGAATGGCTCAAACTAAATAAAGAAAAACACAGATATGAACTTACTTTATTGAAGTGTTTCGAATTTCATCATTCAAATATCTGGCTTCTTTTGTGAGAAATTTTCTTTGTAAGCCGTTCATGTTTCGAGGCACACTTAGGAAGATCAGTGTCCTGAAATGTTATATAAACTATTATTAATTAATTAGACATAAATCAACTTATCCCGACCATAATCAGCCCTCGATGTCATCTTATGCGTCGGATTTTCGCTGGATTTGAATCCGATCTGCTGCTCAACGACTTTAATAATGATGACCGAGGCTAGGCTTCAAATTCAAAAGCTAATATATCGGTTCAGATTGCAGCAATTTGACTGAAATGTTGAACATATTCTATTTATGTTATCTATTTGTTTAACTATTATATCAAGAACAGTCAATTATTTATCTAAGCTCCCGGGGATCACGGTGGCTGAGTGGGTAAGACGCTGGCTCGCTAACCTGGAGGTCGGGTGTTCGATCCCTGCATTGGCCGAGAAAGTTCATCCAGATTTTCCTGCGTGCTTTAGTGATGCAGGACGGAGGGCCTGATAAAGGCCAGCTGTCTAGTCTTTCGGATGGTACGAAAGACCCCGTGTACACATTGGCGTGCACGTAAAAGATCCCTTGACAGTTGGAATTCGACTTAAGTGTAGGCCGTAGTGCCACTGTCCGGGCAAAATTTCCCTCACAGCACACAGCAAAACAGTAGGACGTTAAACCCCATTAAATTTTATATAATCTCCCATAATGCCTATTTAAAATGATGCCAAATTCATATTTATCCAGAAACGATAACAGCCTGGTGTCTTTTAAATCTGGTATAGATCGTAGTCTGGGGAAAACCCGTTTTAATTAAAATGATGCCAAATCCGAACGACGATCGGGCATGTGATAGGAAACCACTCGACACAAACTAGGTCATTTCGGGACTAACATATGGTTCAATTTTATTTCAATAATTCGCTTACAGTGGGAAGAAACCGGAGAAAACCCACGACGTTGGACACATCACGTACACGCGAGGAATCAAACCACGCCACTTGACTCCAACGCTTACGCATTAACCATTCGCCCCCCCCCCAATCTTTCGGTTGGAACAAACAACCGAGAGCCCATACACGTTGGAGTGCACGTAAAATAACCATACACTGTTGGTATTTGGAATAAGAGTAGGACGTAACATCGTAGCCCGGGCAAAACAACATTCCCTCAAAGCTCGTCTTTAAGTTTCATTTCCTGTGACCAAGTGGTGCAGGGTGGCGAATGGTTAGCGCGTGCGCGTTGCATCATAAGGTCTGTTATTGATCCCCTGCTTATAGGAGTACGGTCGTCTGTCCAACCTCGTGGGTTTTCTCCAGGTCCTCAGTGTTACTCCCACTGCTAAAAACCCCTACGCGCAAGCGAATTATTGAAATAAAATTGTACCATATGTTAGTCCCGAAATGACCTGGTTTGTGTCCAATGGACGTTAAACCCCATTTTTCTCTCTCCCATTTAACAAGAGCTTTAACAATCCATGATGCAGGGGAAGTAACCCCTAAATAAATATATATTTTATTTTTCCCTGTAGATTGTGTGAAATTCAATCAATAAATTAAATCCTTAAATGTGAGTACAGGAGATAGGTGCATAAAAAGCGATTTTTTTTAAACATAGAAAACTGTGGTCCTGTTTGTGGGGTTTGTAACCTTGCCATGTCATAAACAGTGAATAAAACATAGAACATGGTGGAGGGGGGGTGGATGGCCGAATGGTTAGCACGTGCGTGATGTATCATACGGCCGGTCATTGAGTCAACTGGCGTGGTTTCGAATCCCCGGTTGTACGTGACAAGGAGTAGGGTCGCCTGTCCAACCTCGTGGGTTTTCTCCGGGTCCTCCCGTTTCCTCCCACTGCTAAAGACCCCTATGCGCAAGCGAATTATTGAAATAAAATTAAACCATATGTTAGTCCCGAAATTACCTAGTTTGTGTCGAGTGGACGTTAAACCCCATTCTCTCTCTCTCTCTCTCTCCCCCCCCCCCTCTCTCTCTCTCTAAGAAAACGGTGGTCCGGATTGTGGGGTTTAACGTTGCCATGGTATAAAATGTGAATGCATTTATCATAAAAACTGTGTTCCAGGTTGTGGGGTGTGTAATGTTGCCATGGTTATAATTAAATTATTCGTAGAATAGAATAGAGTAGAAAATATTTTTAATGAATATGTACCTGAACAATAACGGCTCTTCGTTCAATTTCGTAATAAAGTCTAACTTCCCCTGGATGCCCAAGTTTGTGGCGCTTAATTGGAATACTCGCCCAGCCAAGTAAAATCCAATTTTCAGAAAGCTCAAATGGGCGCTTTGTCATTCACTGAGACTAAAAACCGAGACACCATGTACACATTGGTGTGCACGTACAAGAACCCCTGGAATTCGAAATAAGAGCAGGTTGTAGCTGAGCCCTCTGGGCAAAAGTTTCCCCACAGAACACTGCATTGCGTATACCAGTCTTCAGTATAGACTAGTATACAGGCCGCCACAATTCTATGGAATACAATTACTGCTTATTACTTCTCTAGTCATTATCAAAAAATGATAAAATATGAAAATATAACAAGACAATATATACATGTACAAAACTATGCTTGGTTAATACTGACCAACCAGAGATACTTTTCTAATTACCTTCAAGGGAACCTAATTTAATTCATTATAAGCCCTTGGGTACCATACCGGCATCCCTGCATCGCATCAAGAAAATAAGATTGTTACATACATTAGCCCGGTCGATACGGAACATTAAACTCCATTTCATTTTGTTTGACACCGTTAACTGTTCGCGCGTGAATAGAACATGCTTCTGTTTAATTATATTACACTTAGTTTGTAGTCTTATAAAATGAGGAAGCCACGGTGATTCAGTGAGTCAGACGTTGGCTCGTTAAACTAGAGCCCCCGTGTTCCATCTCGCGGTGTTTGCCTAGAAAGTTCGCCGAGATCTTCCGATGCGGTCCCGGCCCTTGTCAGTGTTGCAGGACGGGGGAGAGGTGTGTATCTATGGAGGCTATATTCAAAATGGCGACTGCCTCGTAACTCTTGTTCAGGTCAGACTCATTGTGTAGGCAGGCATACAGGACACATAAGTGCCCTTGTTTTGAAAGTAGTCTCGCTTAACCAGTCTAACAACCATTCTACGTTTGATTAACAGACCGGGATAATCAAGACTTCTTTTTTACGAAACATAACAGAAAGCTGGAACAATAAATTGAATTTAGAAGCACGCACGTTGGACAACTCAGCAATTGCTTTAAGAACCTTGTAAAAATGAAACTACTGCTAGTATCATGTTCTTGCCCAACGCAAGTATTTCAGAGATATTATTTGTACTAAACCAAAGGATGCCGCTCCTAATGGTACTGTTAATGATAAAGCAATTTAAAAAAAAACCGAACGTAATTTCTAAAGCTGCTGTAATAACCAATGAGCTAAATATTAATGCTATTCAGAATCGTCAACAATAGATTTTTTACGACTGCAATAGTTGATGTGTAGAGAATTGATTGTACTATTTATATACTTAGCCAAATTAAAACTTGACACTCGGGATTTTTGGGACTAGATTTTTAATATTTGGTTTAAGGCAACTATTTTAGTGTTATGTTGTGCACAGACGACCTTGACATCAACAGAAAGCAAGAATACGTCTCGCCGAAAGTCCTTGACATTGATAACGTTCGTGATGTCACAGTACCCCCCAAAATGAAATTCACAGACTTGGAGAACAATCGGAATAAAGTGTTTAATAACGGTTGTGGCCTCCTCGAGCGTCTCGTACTGCCACACAACGTCTTATCATGGATCTCAGAACATTAGTAAACACTACCCGAGGAAGACGTCGCCACTGCTCAGCAAGAGCACGTTGAAGGTCCTGCAACGTCAGTGGTGGATTCACTTGCTGACGAACACGTCGACCCAGTTCGTCCCAGGATTAAGGTCGGGGCTAAGCGACGGCCAATCCAGGACTTGGACACCGGCATTTCTTAAAAAATTCTGGGTAGCAATTGCTGTATGGGGTCGAGCATTGTTTTGTTGAAACGTTAGTCCAGGCCCATGTCTCTGCATAAACGGAAGAAGAACAGGTTGAAAAATCTGATCCCTGTACTGGACAGCATTTAAGTTCCCTTGGACAACAACAAGAGGAGAACGTCAATGTGCACAAAAAGAACCCCAAACCATGACGCTGCCGCCACCAAATCGGTCAACTTCTCTGACGCATACTTGAGCGTAACATTCACCTCGTCTGCGGTACACTCGGACCCTGCCATCGGCAAATCTCAAAGTGAATCGAGATTCGTCACTAAAGACAACCGAATTCCACTGTCTTTGAGTAAATCTTATGTGTCTTGTGGCCCACACAAGTCGGTTACGGCGATGAAGAGGTGTCAATATTGGTCCATTAGCCTGCAAGCGATTTCGAACAGTTTGTGCAGTTACCCTTCCACCAAACATCTCTCTACTTGTGGAGGTTGCAGTGACAAATCTGTTTCTAAGATGACGTAATTGTATTGCTTGATCTTCCTGGAGTGACGTCACACGTGGCGCTCCCGCCCTTGGTCGGTCGGCAATAGTTCCAGTTTGAAGCACTCTCATTCTAAGATTAATTACTGTCTGGCGTGAACAATTAAAGGTTCTTGCAACAGTGACCACAGACTGGCCAGCATAGAGCCTACCTATAGCACGTAGACGTTCTACATTTGAAAGGCGCGGCATTTTCTAACAAAGATGAAAATAACAATTTTAATTTTTTTTTTCCAGTTCAAGTTACGTGTGCTTGTTCAGTTTAAGCAAACTTGCATCGACTGACCTCACGAGTTTGTGTTTGCGCGTGTTTTTCAGGTTTTTCATCTTTATATGCTCAAAAGTCATGTGATCCACGTGACTTTACAATTTTATGAAATTAAAGGCTTCTTACTACTTACTATCGTTAGAAACACTTTAAAATTTATTTAACTTACCGGAAAAAAAAATTTGTTAAAATTCATCAGTGTCAAGTTTTTAATTTGGCTGAGTATAGTATCATAGACTCTACCGCTGAGTATTATCATAGTGCGAGGTAAGCGAGAAATCACTTCGAAGTAAGCCACTGAAGCGTGTGCATTCGCCATGTCGAGACCAACTTTCTGTACGGAAAATTTTGGGTGCGGGTCACCCTACCTAAAGGAACTAGTAATGGAAACTATAGATTGTCAGGTTGAATGAATTTCTATCTGAAATGCAAATTCGAGATAATAGCTAAGTTTAGCAGACCATACAAATTCTACACAGCCAAACACAATCAATAATGGGACCACAGTGGGGTCAAATATGTGAGCAGGCTATCGCGTAGCTTTTCAAAACATTTGATTTTACCTCACCATGGTCCAATGATGGATTGTGTTTGTCTGTGGAAAATTTGTGTTCTTATAAGAAAATGAAATCAAATGGGATTTAACGTCCAACTGTTCCGCACTGACTGGGTAATAATGACGGGTATACGCCATACAGTGTGCTATAAGGGAAATGTTGGCAGAACAGCGTCACTACAGCCTATTATTTCCATCCATTTCCAACAGTCAAAGGTTTTTTTTACGTGCACGCCGATGTGTATACGGGACCGTGGTTTTTCCTCCCATTCAAACGACTTATTCATTGTCAAACCCCCTACCCTGTCCTGTGTCATTGGCAAGGGAACCCATGGCGGAAAATCCAGAAGAATTTCTCAGCCAACACCGGGATCGAGCCAGGGACCTCTTGGTTAGCTATCTAACTCTTTACTCAACGAGTCTCCAATCACGTAGCCTATCCGTGTTAATTAAAACCGGCATAGGCCAGGGGTGGGGGGCGAGGGGAGGGGGCTGAATGGTTAGCACGTGAGCGCTGTATCATAAAGTCTGTCATTGAGTCAACTGGCGTGGTTTCGAATCCCCGGTTGTACGTGACAAGGAGTAGGGTCACCTGTTTCCTCCCACTGCTATAGTCCCCTACGCGCAAGCGAATTATTGAAATAAAATTTAAAACCATATGTTAGTCCCGAAATGACCTAGTTTGTGTCGAATGGACGTTACACCCCATTTCTCTCCCCCCCCCCCCTCTCTCTCGGCATAATCAATGCAGGTGGTACGAGTGACAGTCTGTCCAAGCAGCGATGTATAGTCGTATTGTGAATTCCAACTGCCGAAGTTTTGTTGGGTTTTTTTTCGTGCGCGCCAATGTGTATACAGGACCCTGATTTTTTTGTCCCACCCGAACAACTAAACGGTATTCCTTGCCAGAAACTCTGGCATGCACCATTGACAAAGGGAACCTTCTCGTGCAATTCCGGAATCGAACCCGGGATCTCCTGGTCAGCGATCCAGTCCTTTACTCTCGAGTCACCGCGGCTCCCGTCACGTGTCTTTTCGTCCGCCGGTCGTTTGGAATCGACATCATTTTAATTTAATAAAAACAGGATTTCCCCGGACCTCGCACTATGATCTATGCCAGATTGAAAAGACGCTTATTATCTTTTCTGGATAAAAATGGAAAAAAAAACCAAAACAACAATCAATTTCAATGAATTATGTTTATTAAAATGAAAAGCTGTATCAAATTAATGATCATCGATATACTATAATGGTTTCTGAGCTGAAAAGACAAATTAAAAAAAAAACAAGATTAAGTATAGAATAGGAACACAATTTTACAGAACAGAACAGACAACCTTTATAACGCTTTTATCAACATCAAAAGATGCTGGATGGGAAGTGAACATTAGTAATTAATAAATAATGACTCAGAAATTCGTTTTTATATCCATGTGGAGTCGAAAGCTCATGACAATAAAAGAATCCGCATAATCAAATTGTGTGCTCGGCGTTGCTATAACCATGACAATAATGGAATTTGCATAATCAAATTGTGTGTTCGGTGTTTCTATCACCATGACAATAAAAGAATCAATGTAATCAAATTGTGTGCTTGGCGTTATCACCATGACAACGTTGACCTGTTGTATTAAATATCATCCATGGCCTATTCGGTTATTATTCAGATAAAATTTTCTTTTTGGGACCAGGAATTGAGCTCCAAGATCTGCTATCTTGTTGTTCTTGGGGCGACACTTATTGTGCATCAACTGGACGTTTTTTCATATTCCAAGATGGCTGCGATGATGTAACGCTCGACCCCTAGTCCATAGTATGCCAGTACTTGTTAATAAGCGGCTTTAAATACATATGGTATAGATACACAAGAACAAGACGTTTTGAAACACCCGGATGACCTGGTGCTACTTGACCATCGTCATGCAATACAAATTGACAAGACTTTTTGAAATAACAGGTTCTGCTTGACCATCGCCATGTTCTTAAGCAGTGCAAATGATACGTCTCGTGCGATTTTTGGAATCATACACTTAGACGTGTTTAATATCCCATCACGTTTTGTGGTTTCAATTCCCCGGTTGTACGTGACAAGGATTAAGGTCGCCTGTCCAACCTGGTGGTTTTTCTCCGGGTCCTCCGGTTTCCTCCCACTGCTAAAGATCCTAAGCACAAGCAAATTATTGAAATAAAATTGAACCATGTGTTAGACCCGAAATGACCTAGCTCTCTCTCTCTCTCTCTCTCTCTCTCTCTCTCTCTCTCTCCACATTTTAAAAAACGAAGCATCACAAATTGTTAAACAAAATTATCATTTTTTAAATCAGTGATTCTCAACCAGTGTACCGTAAGACCTTCCTAAGTGTGCCGCGAAATTTTGAACAGTACACTAAGAAAATGTGAAAAACCACGTGATCCCAATTGAGTATTCGCTGGTGTCTACTGATAAGTTCATAGCTGTGTTTTGCTTTATTTAGTTTGAGTCATTCTATGTGTCTATAACTATAGTCTCTGTCTACAGTTGTATGCCGTCTAACTTTAACCATGTTATTATTTAGCAAACTTCAAATATTTTTCATATATGTAGCCATGTGTGTCACTATTTTTTCAAAAAAAAAATGCTGAAAACCACTGAAACATACATTATGCAAGAGATAAATCTGTCCATTGCAGGTCTTTCTTTAGGCCTGAAATGTTATCTAAATTATTAATTAGACATTAATTAACTTATCCAGACCATGATCAACTCTAGATGGCATCGCTAGCCTACGATCATAAGTGGATTGTGAGCCGATTTACTGCATAACATTCTTTCTCGATTAAACGATTAAATGGATAATCGAGACTATGCTGTTTATCGTACTGACTTTGGTAATGATAACCGAGGCTGGGCAGAAATGTCATTCGCTTAGTTATCGGTTCATAGTGGATCAATTTGAATGAAATTTTCAGCAAATTGCGCTTAGGGTTCTTTAGCAGTGGGACCTGCGGAAAACCAACCAGTTTGGACAGGTAATACTACTCCACTCCTTGTTATGTACAAGCGAGGAATCGAAACCACGCCACTTCACTCAATGACAAACCTTACTTGAATTGTATTCTATTCTGAATCATTTGATTCTAAATATTCCAGGAATAATTCGACTGCTTCAGATTCTTCTATATCAATAACGCCATCACCTATAAAATAAAAGTTATAAACCAAAGACGGTTAATTCTGTTCGGGTAACGATTATTTTAAACTGTGCTCCTCTAGGTGCTGGCTTTATACTTTCGATGGTCTGCACCACATGAAGATCTGACTAGTTGTGGGGGACGGTCGTGTCAGGGGTCATACGAACAGCTTTTAACTCAATAACGTCAGACATTTGACTAACCAATCAGCTTTGACGTTTCTAGTAGGATATCCACAGTTCCGTGCATCGCACGCCAAGAACTTGCTACAACAGACTGTTTCATTGGCTAATCCATCACATCAAGCAAAACGCGGGTTATATAACAACTCTTCCAGATCCAAGTGTAGTAAAGACAAGTAAAACGAAATTTTGAACTATAAAAATCAAAACGAAATAGGATCTGTGTTTTAATCAGATGGCGTATGTCCCTAAAAATAATCCTTGTCATTGAAGAATGAAATGAAATGAAATGGAGTTCATCTTCCTACTGTTCTGCACCCATTGGACTAATGAAAATGGATATACGCCATACATGGTGGGTACTATTAGGGAACTTTTGCCCGGAAACCGCACACTATCTAATCCCAACTGTCAAGGGTTATTTTACGTGCAGCGTAAATAATATATGTATAATAATAATATAATATGAGATCTCGGTTTCATGTCGTATGCGAACGACTATACGTTATCCCTTGCCAGAACGTCATTCCTGTACTATTGACAAGAAGGAACCTCGCCGGAAAATCTCTTTGAACGTTATCCGTGCAATGAGGATAGCGAGGCGACTAAATGAATACCAATGATCAACTTTTGTCAATTTCACGCGAAATCCGATGGTTCAAACGAACGAAATTACACCTTGAAACTAAGCGCCAATATTGCTGCAGATACCTTTAGCCATATAATATCGAATGGTATTTTATTTTATAAATTGTTGAGATTTTGAAATTTTTTGTTTATTTCCAGCTTGTTAATACGAATATGAAATTCATCGGATAGTTTAGCTGTTTAGTTGCGAAATCGATTCTTTATTATTAATGTAAAACTCAATGATTAAAATGCATTTCTATGCTCCCAATTATACGAAATGCATTTTTTAGGTAAAAATCAAAGGGAATGATTAAAATGCATTTCTATGGTACATATTATACGAAATTATTAAAATATAGTTCTTTGGTATACGAAATGATTAAAAAATATTTCGATAGTACACATTATACGAAATACCTATAATGTATTCCTTTAGTATATATTATATGAAAAAGTGAAAACAAGCTGATAAATATTTCTGATAAATATCCCGTATTCTGACCTGTTTGTATCAAGTCGATTTTCAAATATAAGATAAACTAAATAAACTAGTCACTAATCTGAAATAATAGTCTTTAAAATGACTCCATCTGGTGGACATTTCATATCGTTTCCAAATCAAAGTATCGACAAAGTATATGTTTGTGAAATCCACAAAACCTCATTTTTTAAAAATCTCTTAAACAAAATTTGCTTTTTGCCGTCCTAGTCTGAACAATAGGAAAGGTCAGTCAAGCTATCGTGTTAATGATGTATTGACAAGTAAAATATATATTAGATCATAGGAATACTTACCATTAGTATCAAATTCAGCAAAGAATTCATCTAGATCTTCTTCACTGTCAATGTCAAGCAATTCTGCAACTTCTTCACGTGACAGTTCACCGTCATCGAAGCTAGCTTCGGCATTTTGAGCCAGAAAAACTACAGCCACGGTTATCAACAATAAACACTTCATTCTGTAATACAATTATATAATATTACATTAGTTGATAAAATCATATAACATTACACTGGGTTATCAACAATAAACACTTCATTCTGTAATACAATTATATAATATTACATTAGTTGATAAAATCATATAACATTACACTAGTTGACAAAATCATATCACATTATTACATTGGTTGACCAAATCATATTACATTACTCAGGGGGTGGATGGCCAAATATTATAAGGTCTGTCATTAAGTCAACTGGCGTGATTTTAATTTCCCGGTTGTACTGATTTGGCCGACAAAGTTCTCATCCAAATTTTCCGGCGTGGTTCCCCCTTGTCAGTGATGCAGGACGGAGGGCCTGACGAAAAACCGAGGTCTGCTGTGCCCATTGGCGTGCACGTAAAAGATCCCCTGGCTGTGGAAGTCAATAAATAAGAGTAGTGCCGCTGTCGGGCAAAATTTCCCTCATAGCACACTGTATGGCGTATGCCCGTCTTCATTAGCCCAGTAGAACAGAAGGACGTTAAACCCCATGTCATTTCATTACATTTCTATGCATACTTTCACGCTTGTCAAGTGAGGACCTGATATGAACAATGGCGACATTCTTCTAGGCCTATGTCTATCCGTCGTGTCTCTTTTAAAATAGAGTGACTTGGTTTTATTTTCTATTTTTGTCAGCACAAAATAATTTGTAAATTTTGATAAATAGAATATTAAATAGAATTGCATGGGGAATTTGTTTTTATATCTGTATCTCCGCAAACGGGTTCGCACAGTTTGAATATGTCAAATATTAAGTTTAACAACACGGCAAAGATCCACAAGGTATCCATATCTCTTTGAAACGAAATGATTCGGATTCAATTTCTACAACAAAATAAAAAAAATAAAAATCCTAAAAATTAAATGATATGTAATAGAATATTAATGTTACCTGTACACTGTATATCTTTCACTATACTGATAATAGCCTACCTGTTCATAGTTATATAGTAAATAAGGTGATATTCATATAATTATTCTATCAAGTTTAAATGATTTTTGATAACCATCTTTATTATGTGGTGTTTTATCGTAAATAGATCTCGATAAATGTGTTTCCCTATTCGGCTTAGAAATAAAAGGGTAATTCAGGTTATCGGACATCATCTATTGTCACTTCTGAAAACAACTTGTTATCTTCATTAATGCGTTAATTGGTTATCGGGAATATTTGTTAAATGTAATTAATATTGTAGAAAGTGTGGACATAGGTTGTCATGACGTGGCACAGAACACGTTGCATGGATCTCGGCAATCTGTTTCACAACGGTAATGTGAAAGCCTTCTTTTAGCTCTGTAAAAGATGACTGACCTTTAAGTTCAAGTGCAGTATAGGACTAGGTGTGACGGCACACCATAAGGCGCCGATAGCATGTGCGTTGTTTACATCGGACGTAGTAAACAAGTTCGGACAGAATTGGCCACCTTTACTCATTTTACACCTTTGCGTACTATCTTATGTACCTAATAATTTGTTTATCCAGTTATGTCTTCTAACACCTTTATTTTCTTTCTTAATAATTTAAAAAAAAATGTTGCTGAAGATTAAGGTTAATATTGAGAGCTCTTAGTGATGGTTGCGGCCAAGCGAATATTTACTGATGACCAGTTTGGGATGTCGGACGCTGTAACCCAGAGACAGTCTCTAAACATAATTATTCATGGTTTATGTTACAGAGTTCAACAACCCGAGTGTCTAACAACGCATTCAGCCCGTAGTCGGTAGACCCAAATAGTCAGGCTAGCCTAACAGTAACAATGCCGTACCCGCCGCCTTATTCAGTTTCTTTAACTTTTTTTTATATATCTTAATCTATTAGTCCAGGAGCTACAAGACTTGTATTTTTGGGCGTCCCGTACACATCTCTTCTAATTCCAGGCCCCAAACCTTTTGTTATCGAGATGTTAATTGAATCTATGTTAGCGGGTGGACTATAGGCCCTATAGGGAACCACGGTGGCTAAGTGGATAAGACGCTGGCTCATCGGAATTTCCAACGTGGTTTCCCTCTTGTCAGTGGTGCAGGACGGACGGCCTGACAAGGTCAGCTGTCTAGTCGTTCTGATGGACGAAAAACCGAGGCCCCGTGTATACATTGGCGTGCACGCAAAAACCACCTTGGCAGTTAGAATCCCCGTCTTCATTATCCCAGTCGAGGCAGAACGGTAGGACGTTGAACCCATTTCATTTCATTTTTATAGGCCCAACATACTTGATTCTTTAAGGCATACAATCAAGGAGTTGGCCACGGGCATCACCAGAGCTCTGTCCACCCCCACATGGCTTTAGGATGTTTTAAAGTCTGGTTATTTAGAATGGACAGTTTTAATATAGGTTCAAGTTACCCAACCACCTGAGTGTTTTACAATTCATTTCAGCAAATGATGCAAATAAGCTGGCAATAATAATTCATTCTGTACCCCTCGTCTTCTTCAGTTTCTTGAGAGAGAGAGAGAGAGAGAGAGAGAGAGAGTGAGTTTAACGCCCACTCGACACAAACTAGGTCATTTCGGGACTAACATATGGTTCCATTTTATTTCAATGATTCGCTTGCGTGTAGGCGTCTTTAACAGTGGGGGGAAACCGGAGAACCTGAAGGAGAACCACGAGGTAGGACATGCGACCCCACTCCTTGTCACGTACAACCGGGGAAACGAAACCACGCGGCTTTAAATACATGTGGTATAGATACACAAGAACAAGACGTTTTGAAACACCCGGATGACCTGGTGCTACTTGACCATCGTCATGCAATACAAATTGACAAGACTTTTTGAAATAACAGGTTCTGCTTGACCATCGCCATGTTCTTAAGCAGCGCAAATGATACGTCTCGTGCGATTTTGGAATCATACACTTAGACGTGTTTAATATCCCATCACGTGTTGTGGTTTCAATTCCCCAGTTGTACGTGACAAGGAGTAGGGTCGCCTGTCCAACAAGGTGGTCTTTCTCCGGTTCCTCCGGTTTCCTCCCACTGCTAAAGATCCTAAGCACAAGAATTATTGAAATAAAGTTGAACCATGTGTTAGACCCGAAATGACCTAGTCTCCCTCCCTCTCTCTCTCTCTCTCTCTCTCTCTCTCTTCACATTTTAAAAAACGAAGCATCACGAATTGTTCAACAAAATTATCATTTTTTAAATCAGTGATTCTCAACCAGTGTACCGTAAGACCGTGGTGAGGTAAAAGCAAATGTTTTCAAAAGCTACACGATAGCCTGCTCACGTATTTGACCCCACTGTGGTCCCATTATTGATTGTGTTTGGCTGTGTAGAATTTGTGTTCTTAAACACTGTAAGATGCTCTGTGTGTAGAACTGATCTCTGAGTATTGACTAACTGGTGAACTTTTTAGGCAAACACCGCGAGATGGAACACGGGGGCTCTAGTTTAACGAGCCAACGTCTGACTCACTGAGTCACCGTGACTTCCTAATTTTATAAGACTACAAACTAAGTGCAATATAATTAAACAGAAGCATGTTCTATTCACAAGCGAACAGTTAACTGTGTCAAACAAAATGAAATGGAGTTTAATGTTCCGTACCAACCGGGCTAATGTATGTAACACTTATTTTCTTGATGCGATGCGAGAGAGAGAGAGAGAGAGAGAGAGAGAGAGAGTTAGAGTGGGGTTTAACGTCCACTCGACACAAACTAGGTAATTTCGGGACTAACATATGGTTTAATTTTATTTCAATAATTCGCTTGATCATAGGGGTCTTTAGCAGTGGGAGGAAACCGGACGACCCGGAGAAAACCCACGAGGTTGGACAGGCGACCCTACTCCTTGTCACGTACAACCGGGGATTTGAAACCACGCCAGTTGACTCAATGACAGGCCGTATGATACAGCACGCACGTGCTAACCATTCGGCCATCCAACCCCCCTCCGCCGTGTTTTATGTTTTATTCACTGTTTATGACATGGCAAGGTTACAAACCCCACAACCAGGACCACAGTTTTCTATGTTAAAAAAAATCGCTTTTTATGCACCTATCTCCTGTGCTCATATTTAAGCATTTAATTTATTGAGTGAATTTCAGACAATCCACAGGAAAAAAAAATATATATTTATTTAGGGGTTACTTCCCCTGCATCATGGATTGTTAAAGCTCTTGTCAAATGGGAGAGGGAGAAATGGGGTATAACGTCCATTGGACACAAACCAGGTCATTTCGGGACTTACATATGGTTCAATTTTATTTCAATAATTTGCTTGCGCGTAGGGGTCTTTAGCAGTGGGAGTAACAATGAGGACCCGTAGAAAACCCACGAGGTTGGACAGACGGCCGTACTCCTATAAGCGGGGGATCAATAACAGACCTTATGATGCAACGCGCACGGGCTAACCATTCGCCACCCTGCATCACTTGGTCACAGGAAATGAAACTTAAAGACGAGCTTTTGCCCGGGCTACGATGTTACGTCCTACTCTTATTCCAAATACCAACAGTGTATGGTTATTTTACGTGCACTCCAACGTGTATGGGCTCTCGGTTGTTTGTCCCAGCCGAAAGATTGGGGAGGGGGCGAATAGTTAAGCGTTGGATTAAAGGGTATGTCACTGAGTCAAGTGGCGTGGTTTGATTCCTCGCTTGTACGTGACGTGTCCAACGTCGTGGGTTTTCTCCGGTTTCTTCCCACTGTAAGCGAATTATTGAATTAAAATTGAACCATATGTTAGTCCAGAAATGACCTAGTTTGTGTCGAGTGGTTTCCTATCACATGCCCGATCGTCGTTCGGATTTGGCATCATTTTAATTAAAACGGGTTTTCCCCAGACTACGATCTATACCAGATTTAAAAGACACCAGGCTGTTATCGTTTCTGGATAAATATGAATTTGGCATCATTTTAAATAGGCATTATGGGAGATTATATAAAATGAAATGGGGTTTAACGTCCTACTGTTTTGCTCCGAACTGGGCTAATGAAGACGGGCATACGCCATACAGGGAAA